CAAATATTCATTAGAATGCTAAATAGAGTTTAGAAAATCTCTATTATTACTAAAATTACAACTCAAACACCTGAAAATTGTAATTTTTAATTGATTTATTAAAATAACATCAACATATAATTATCACCGAAGGTGGGCCGGGCCGACCGGGCCTACTTCCTTGTCTCTATGTTTAGAGCGGAACCCCGTCCTGCCCACGGCTCGGTTGTATCACCAATCGAGTAGGGCCCGACCCATTGCGGGCCTAGTTTGGTCTTGACCAAGACCAGTTCGACATGCAGTTGAACTGGTCCATGCCCACCCTTAACTGACAGGAAGCCTTTCATCAAAATGTTCCTATTAATGCATCAGACAAAGATGAATTGATGATGTATACTAATAGAACAGAGAAAGAACTTGTTGCTCACAACGAATCTGTCAATAGGGAAATGAAAATGGTTTAATAGTATTAGTTAGCAACTTAGCTTTACATTAGATGCATCTTTCAAAAATGGATAAAATGTGACATGACTTTTTACATAGAGTTGATAGAAAGTCAAATACATTTGTTTCGAAGGCAAGGGTTTCAATGAAAGGGTAATAGGAAATTGACTTGAGGGAGGATATTGTAGATAAGGATGAAGAGAATGATCTTAGAAACACTAACCAATAACTTGACAAATTAAATCTCGCTTGTCTTTTAGCTGCCAGAAACTACTAACCAAAAATTTAACGCACCTTTTATTGAAACTCCAACTAATATATAACATCAAAATAAATATCAACCATTCTAACTGAAGACAAACGAATAAATGAAAATAAATGAATATATAAGATGGACACATCAGATCAGAATTTAGATTGGGTTCTAAAAACATCAAGCCAGAATCTCAAACTACTAGGGATTCTCCAAAAAAATTAGTTGAGTGGTTGAATGAAACAACTCTCAAAACTATTAAAGGCGGGGTCAGGAGGTGTATGAAAATTTGGCATGAACCAACCGTAAAGTTACAGTTTCACCTACTCAATTTTCATATACACTCTTGTATAAGCAATATTAAAGTACAAATTCACAACTATATTGCAATCATACAACACCCAGAATCTAAGGTATGACAGTTGAGTTCATAGAATTTAAAATAAAGAGCTGGAAAGCTTAAGGGAACAATATATTACATGCTGAAGTTCAAAATAAAAGTTTTTTAGTACATGACATTACATAAGTAGTCCAAAAGTACGACCAATACACCAAAATTGCTGAGCGTTTCTAACTAGTCTTCAAACTCACTTAATCGCACATTTGCACTTATTTGGTTTAGTACCTGTTGGGGATGTAAAGAAAAGTAGGGATGAGCAAGAGGCTTAGTAGTTAACCAATAAAAAGTCATGAATACAACCATAAGGGAATATGGAGGTGATATGATATGTCGACATGAAGTAGTAGATATCAATAGCTATTTGCATCATAATAGCATCAAGGATTAACATGAAGTTATGAACATCGAAAAGAATAAACAACTAGATATTCATGATTGTAAGTTCCCCTTTCGGTATATGTCAATACCACACATGCCTTTATATATACCCACCGGTGAGCGTCCTCACACAGGGACTTGGTCCCTATGGGACTTAATATAATAGTAATCATGCATCACCAATAATAATCCAAACAATTCAACACATACATGTCACTAATCAAGATGATCGAAAGTTGAGGCAAAACCACATATAATACCAATTTACCAAATTTCATGGTACGGATCAAATAGGACAGTTAAATAAACGAGCTATCGGCAACATTCCACACATGAATTGTTTCAAATAACAGTTTTTCGGAAGTAAAGAGAATACAAGTGAAATTCCATATTATAGAAAGAAAAACAAGAGAAGAGTCACCTACCGGTTGTGACGAACTGGACACCAACGATAATTTCCTTGGGAGTTCCTATATACGCATACATGCATACCCATATGAGATTCTAGATGACTAGTTCTTTTATTATTTTTCTAGCTTATAATTTATCTCATGGTATATGCTATGCTCGAGATGGTTACGCTCAACACTTATGATATGCACAAATAGCGAATGCAGTGTACTTGCTGCAGTTTGAGATGGATGGATGGGAGAGCAATTGACATCGAAATGCATGAAACTAGTGCCATTTGACTCTCACATGAGTCTACATTTTAGAACAATAAGTTATTTTCAAGATTAATGTGCATAGCTTAAGTTATATACAGAACATACAGGACATACGGATTGCAACTGTAGGCCATGTAGCAGATTTAAGTGCATAAATGATGGGTCAAATGATATCCATAATTAGTGAAACAATATTTAAAATTTTTCTATATAAGCCTAGTTTTTGAAACAAAAAGAAATTAGTGCATGCAAGCTTTCTAAAGAGAGTTTTGCTCCATACAACATGAAAGAGTAAGGATTTTAGACTCATGCCAAGAGCAGAATTTACTTCCTCATCTTATTAACTCTTTCAGATATAATTCGCTATCAGCTATCAAAATTCAAACACAAATGTGATAAAGATAATTTAACAAACCTAGTATCAAACTATAAAATTTTATTTACTCAAGCATAAACAGAAATTGAGATACATGCAAACACTCCCAAGAGGGCAGACTGTGTATCATGTACACGTACACATACATTGAATTAAATCACAAGTTCGAACTAGTAAATGATCTTAGAATTGGATAAAATTGGACTCAAATGAAAGATATGGATGTCTAGTTTTGGAATATCTCATTAGATTGTAGTTATGACTAACATTCATGGAAATATGGTTAAGATAGTGCATGTGTGACACAGAGCACCATCACACAAATTCTAGTGTACATGAGTTAGATTTGATCATAAATTAGAGATAGCAAAAGATATCAAAATGACCCAAACTAAATTCAAAAAGAAAGTCACATCAGTCTAGTTTAAGGAATAACAAGAATTTAGTGCACTCAAGATATATATTGAGAGTCATGCTCTCTATAGTGAACATGTCCTGTTTCAGACACATGCGTCCACTTCTGCTAAGCATTCGAGATAGAAAATGATATCCAAATTTGACCAAACCAAGTTCAACAAAAAGATGCACGAGTACAAATTTCAAAATAAAAAATTTCAATTAAAAAATGACATTGCTAGAGAAAGTTATGGCCAAAATACTAACAAGGTATGCTGCAGAAATTTTTTCAGTACGGGATTATGCTTCGAATATCGACATGCAAGTCATACCATCACCAGTCGGAGCATACCCACTATAATCTGAACTTAGGGAGATGGAAAACAGAAATGACCATGTTTTTACATGTTCTTAAGCACAAAGATCACACTTTTATCCTTGCTTATTGACATTCATGAACCATTCTTTGCTCTAACCTTATATGCAAGCATGAATTTAACTAAAATTGCACATTGCATGATCAAAACAGCTATCAACCATGGGAAGCTCAGATTTGCACTTGTTTGAATCATTAAAACATAAATAGAGTGAAATTTTACCTAGGGGATGTCCAAATCTCCTCTTTTGCCAAGCTTCAATGCCTTTCCTAGGCTATCTCGAGCTTGTTCTTCTTCTTCTTTTTTTTTTCTTTTGAGAAGATGAATGATGAAAAAATGGGGGGAGTTGCTGCAAGATGAGGCCAGCCTAGAGGTGGAGGAGGGGAGAGAGGGTTTGGAAAATTCTTCTTGAAAATGAAAGTCAGAGAGAGAGAGATAGAGAGAGTGGGGTTTATATAGACATGACATGTGAGCTTTGGGAATGGAAATATAGGTAATTTGGAGGGTTTATTTGCAAAGTTCTCTTCCACTCATGGCTGACCAAATTATTTAAATGTGTTATTTAGAGAGTTTTAAAATACATATTTATCAAATTTGATTAACTTTAATCATGGTCTAAAACATGGTTCGTTAGGGTTCCCATGCTAGGTTTAATATGTATACTATAACTTAGTTAACTCTATCCTAAGTGAGAAATTAGCTAACTTAGTATCCTCGTACCAGAAGATTATATGAGACAAAAGAAAGAAAAAGGAAAATGCTGGTTCATGGACCGGTATCAGTAACAGTATTTGATCATCAGAATGAAAGAAAACAAATAAAAGATTTTGCGATGTTACACTAAAGCTGTCATAATTATTTGGATAGAATGCTAGTGTATGTATATGTATGCTGTGACCATGTGTGGTTACTACTTGGACTCATTTAGGTCCATGTACTAAGAACCCAACGGATTGGTTAGGTGTGTCAAAGAATATAAGCGCAGAATTAACTCTCCCCATGCATCAGCAGGCAGTAGTCTGGTTTAGGTCCAAATCTATGACTCATGCGGAGTTTAGATCCTTGGTTTTTGTCTACATAACCGAAATCCAGCAGCTCTGGCAACCTCTCGCATATGGAAGAGATAGATCATGTGAAGCCTGTCCTAGTTATTCAAGAGCTTCATTACAAATTGATGAGATTTTGAACAGATAGGAGTGAGAGGATAAAAAGGAATGGAGAGTTGTACTTATGTTAAAAACAGTACATGGAGCTCTCTTCATCTTGTTGCACTATGGTGAGTGTGTTCATCATGCTTGATGATTTATGTTCTGGGGTACAAGGCTGGAATCATCTAAATAACTGGAAAATAGACCTCTATCAACGTTTTATACACAACATTTCCCATGTTGATGTTTGTGAAGATTTAATCTTCTGTTTCCTCTTATGTTCTACCACATTTTACTGGACACTGATTGTTTCATGCCTATTTGACATTTTTCTCTGATCATCTTTACACTATGAATTACTCAGTATACTGATTAGCTACATGATTACTCATATGTAGAATCAAGAATGGTTTGTCCTATTAGTAAGTGCTAATGTAATTAATCTGCTGGAAAGTGATAGACTGATCTCTCTTAATATTTGTAGGAATTTTCTTTAAATTAGGTTTCTAGGATCTCTCATGGCTGCCATTCTATCAAAATTTAGTGTTGATTGTTGGGTAATTATCTATTGTCTTTTGCAGAGAAAACTGAGAGCACTCGTTGAATCAGGTCAATCAGCAAAACAGGAGAAAGTTGACAGATTCCGACAAATAAAACAGGACGTCAATGAAATGATAAAGACACGTCTATCATACTTGAAGTCCATGGTATCTTTATGGTTTGGCTTCGTCATGCTTTTTTGGAATTTAATTAGACTGTAGAATTAACAGTTTATTTTTGCTATGGTAAAATCCTTGGATGTTTACTGCAATAACGTACATTATTGAGTGCAGCATGCTTAACATTTAGTCTTGGGAGTTGCTTTGCATTTGTTAGAAGTAATTGTTTTTGTTAAGGGTTCTTTTGTTGCATGTTGATAAAAACATGATCTGATGAGCCTCAAATTTTGATCAATGGTACCTTCACAATATGATGCTCACCTATTAAGCCCCAAAATATTATTAGTCTTTCATTTGTTTTTTTTTCACAGAAGTAATGCCTCTTCTTATCCACCTATAGTTGCTGTATTCTCCTTTCTATGTAAGAATCCTGTTCAACATGAGAGGGCTCTTTCTACCCATTCTTTCAATTCCCCTGTCCTTTCAGCCTCTCTCCACCCACCTAATCTTTCTCATTTGTTTGACTCTTCCACACAACCTCCTTTTCCTTTTCTCTTCTTCCATGTTAAAGTTCTTTTCTTCCATAGACATCCGATAGAGTTCCCTATTCCTAGGAAAATGATGCTTACACATTGCATTAAAATTCAGGAAACATTATAAATGATAATGGATGTGCAATACATATTTGATGTCATATTTAATAACTCTCTTTTGATACATATGTCTCTGGGTCATGTATTGAGGCTAAGTTATTTGAAATAACTCTCTTAATTGATTTTGGAACCTAGGGGACTAGGTTCTGTTTAAGGACAGATTGAAAGGTAGATTTTGATTCAGAATGGGGTAAGTTTTTGGCAGTAGGATTCACCGAGCCAGGAATGGGAACTAGAACAGTTGTGGGAAAATGTTTGTTATACGACATTAAGGCCTTGTAAAGCTAGAAGAGTAAACAAAATATAGAAGTTGTGCATTATTGCAAGAGTAATTTATGTAATCTTATATTGCAAGAGTAATGTATGGAATCTTATATTCCATCAAGAGTTAGGCTAATTTCAACAGAGAATTGGAATTATAACTCTAGGATAATTCTCAAAAGCAGGATGGTATATGCATAAAGATTTTCAAAAGATATCAATGTTATGCAGCCTTAGCTCCTTGTCCCCAACTCTTTTTATTTGCAGGAGTTGGTCTTAACTGTTGGCTAACTCTTGCCACCAAACACAGCCCAAGAATTAGCCGCAGGTGATCCTTACCATGGTGACACGAAAGTTAAGATGAAACAATCTGGTGTGGCACTGAATAAGTGAGTCCCACATGTGGTTGATGCATCAAGAATAAACTTTGCTAGGGTCTAATATCAAAGTATGGAGTCTGCTAAGCATTTATTTCCTAAAAATGTTTTGTGCATTCAAATGTAATTGTTTCTCTGCTCAACAGATACCTGAGCGGCATGATGGTTCTGCTGATGATTTTCAAGAAGTAAATGGCGGCGATGAAAAGAAAGCTCTAAGAAAGCATGGTATGGATTTTGCATTGGAAGACAAGATATGTGAGCTCTATGAATTGTATGTTGAGGTGAGAAATTATATACTTCTACGTCATTGTTTGTTCTTAAGAGGGAGAGCAGGGTCAAAAGAAAACTATTGATAGACATCGATGTTTATTTTTTCTTTCACTTTCTTTCTTTTTTCTTTTTCATTATTTTTGTCAAGAAGGCTGTTGCTATCAGGTTAATTTTTTTTTATTTTACTTCCACTACCTTTGTTATAACTGGATACATGTGTTTGTATATACTTTTGTTTTCTCCAGGGGATGGACGATGACAAACATCCTCAAAGCAGGAAGAAGCTCTATCAAGAGGTAACTCAATTCCTCCATATTGCAGATTTTTTTGGGTGCTTTTAAACCACTGTAACTATATCTCTCTCTGTATGGAATTGTGTAACCAACTTTTTTAGTCAATAAAATTCAGAGAATTCAGAAGTACACGTTTTTTGATACTTCTTGAAGCTCTGTTGCTTGGCTTCATGGTTTCATCCATGTGTGAACTTTTTTCTTTATTGGCGCTGCTTTTCTGTTGTTTACTTTCCTGCCGTTCTACCCTTTTTTCTTTACATGTTCTTTTAACTTGTAATCCTCAGAGTAAGTCTCGCTTGGAAGCTTTTACTTGTAAAGCTACCTGTACCTTTATGGTAATAGCTTGCCTGGTTAATTTTTAATTTGAAGGGAAGCAGATCCCACTGGTGAAGCCTGTTATCTGTCAATTGACATTTACCATTTCCTTCATATTGAAAACAGCAGTTTCAATTTCTTATTAGATTTGCGTTTCTGGTTTCAGCTCGCCGAGTTGTGGCCAAATGGTTATATGGATAGTAATGGGATTAAAGATGCTATATTCAGATCAAAGGAGCGAAGGAGACAAAGAATTTATAGAGATAAGGTCCTTTACCCATCTTAATAATCTTTGTCGATTTATTTTAATAAATGTTCTTTTTATCCAAGCTCTGTCTGTCTTGTCCACTGGTTTATGTTTCCTTATTAATGGATGTTTCTGTTGAGTGATCCACCAATTTCCTTATTATGGATGAAGCTGTTGATTGATCCCCCAAGTAGTTGAAGTAGAATTATCTCTGTTACGAGCACGCACAGACACATGCATATACTTGTATGTATATGTATATCTAGATACACACCACACACCCACACACAGCCGTCAGTGCTTGTATTTTCTCAGTATTGTTAATTCTATTTCAAAGGCATCAATTTAAGAAAGGGTTAACTACAGAAAACCCCCCATGAACTTTTAGGGAGTTGCAGTAAATGCCCATCAAGTTTTATTGTTGCACTAAACCCCTACAAACCCCCAACCCCCCAACCCCAATTGTTTTATTCACTAAATTTTACATGAAATTTTCTCATTTAATTTCCAAGTTAGCATCATTGATTCTGACATCTCATGTGGCGAGCATGTGCCTAATAAAAAGATGAAATAATTCGTTAGTCAGGAAAAATTAGCTATTTTTCCTTTTTAATAAAAGGGTATTTTTTGGGACTAACAAGGAATTATCTGTCGTTTTTTTTGTCCTGTGCTTACCGGTGACACGTTAGAGTTGATGATGCTAATATGGGGATTAAAAGATAAATTTTCATATAAGATTTAGTGAAATAAAACAGCCCATGGGGGTTATGTGCAACTCCCAGATGTTCATGGGGATTTAATGTTATAAAAAAGTTGATGGGGTTTACTGCAATTCCCCGGAAATTCATGGGTGCTTTCTGTAATTAACCCTTTGAACATATTACACAGTGAAACATGCAACTGACCTGAAACCTGTGATATCATTAATATATACACAGACAATCCTCTCTCGCTTTGGTTATCATCTCCGTTACATGCATAAAGAAAATCCTTCGGTTTCACGTGTTTCATTTTGTCAGGCTCGTGAAGAGGAAAGGATCAAGAGGAAGAAGCTGGCTGCTGCATCTAGGGCAGAGGGAACGAGTCTTGGTGCTCAAGCAAGACCAGCCACAGAGTCTACTGCTGTAGTACTTGGGCCTCAAGAAAAGAATACAGCCGATCAGCCTGTTTCATCTTCAGTCAGAACTCTTGAACCATCATCAGTATCAAGTGATGCTGTACATCATCATATATCCAAGCACCATGACAAGGCTCGACTAAGTAGTAGCACCACGAACATGATTCTAGGCGACGGAAGCAAAATAATTGTTGCAGATGCAAAGAAAAAGATGAAGAGGAAGCCAGAATTAGACTTAGGAGAAATCCATGCTCATCCAACGAAACTCCCCTCACAGCTAGGAAAGGAGAAGCCCAGTTCTCATAAGCAAACTGAGGATCTCAATGCAGTTGACAAGCTTAAACCGAACCTTAATTTACCTGCTGCACCGGTTTCATCTGACCAGCAGAGCTAATTCTAGAAGCAGGATTAGATGGACGTACGTGTTTCTTCTTTGTTTATTATGCCCTCTAATGTAAGTTTAGAGGTAAGTAATATATGGTCTTCATGCGCTGAAGTTATTAGACGGATTCATTGTGAGCATTTGCTTTATATTGCAGAAGTTGCGTAATGTGAAAATGCAGTTTGCTTAATCATTATTTAAAGGATTTAATGCGGGGCATCGGTGATGCCTTCGTTCATGGCAAGTTACCTTAGTTCCAATTTTCTACTTTTAGCTGCTTTCGAGCTGTTTTTGGCCCTTTTCTGTGGAGTTCCTCCACGAATTGGGTCTCCTTTGTAAATCCTGTTGTGCGCGGCGCGGAAGCGGGACAAACCAAACGGGCGTGCTTCGAGAACCAAATCAAACAAACGTCGAGATAAAGGCCAAACAAATCATAAACGGTACAAATCCAAACACAATAGTTTTACGTGGTTCGGTAAATTGCCTACGTCCACGGGACAAGAAGGGGATAATGTTTTTCACTAATAGGGAATAAGAGTACAAATTGAGATTATAAAACGCTTAAACCAATTAACTAATCTTACCAACAAATCTCTTAATCTCTCCAAATAAACTCTCAAACAATTGCTCAGAAAAACTCTCTTTTTTTTGAGCTCCAAATATCCCTAAACCAAACTCCAAACAAAGCCAAAGAAACCCTAATTCGTATGTTGGTATTTATAGCAAACATCAAACCCAATAATAACAGGTAACACAAAACAGACTCTGACCCGATTGGCGGTCGACCGCCCAAAACTCGCGGTCGACCGCGATCCACGACAGAGACAAATTCGCTTACAGGGGAATTGTGGTAGACCGCGGCGGTCGACCGTGCCAAATCCAGACTCCCACTCTGGTTAGTGCACGTTCGCGGTCGACCGGCCTTGCGCCGCGGTGGACCGCGCATCACCCAAAACGATTCCTGCGCCTCTAAACCTGTTCTGATCCAAAATTTCTCGCCGATTCTACAATTGGCGCGAAAGCGGACAACCAAACGGGCGTGTTTCAAAAACCAAATCAAACAAACGTCGAGATAAATGCCAAACAAATAAAAAACAACGACACAAATCCAAACACAATAGTTTTACGTGGTTCGGCAAATTGCCTACGTCCACGGGGTAAGAAGGGGATGAGGTTTTTCACTAATGGAGAATAAGAGTACAAATTAAGATTACAAAACGCTCAAACTAATCAACTAATTTCACCAACAAATCTCTTAATGTCTCCAAATAAATCCTCAAACAATTGCTCAGAAAAACTCTCTTTTTTCTGAGCTCCAAATATCCCCAAACCAATCTCCAAACAAAACCAAAGAAACCCTAATTCGTATGTTGGTATTTATAGCAAACACCAAACCCAATAAGAACAGGAAACACAAAACAGACCCTGACCCGATTGGCGGTTGATCGTCCAAAGCTCGCGGTCGACCGCGATCCAGCGACAGAGACCAAATTCGCCTACAGGGTCTCGCGGTCCTGGCTTGTGCACGTTCGCGGTCGACCGACCTTGCGCCGCGGTCGACCGCGCAGCACCCAAAACAACTCCTGCGCCTCCAAACCTGTTCTGATCCAAAATTTCTCGCCGATTCTACAATTCTCCACCTCGGCGAAGTTTCTTCCAAAAACTGAGCCGACACCAACTAAAACAAATGCCTTACTTGTTGCGTCCAGTAAGAAGTGAAACTATTCACGATAACGGACTCAATCCACAACAAGTCGAGACCCAAACGGGAGTGTGAACACTCTCTCAAACGTCGATGTCTCTCACCAAATCGGCTGCATCAAAACTGACTGCCTACGTATCCTCTTGCCCAAGGAATCAAGCATTCACGTAGTTCATCCAATGGCCTTCAAAAGGCCCTCAATCCAATAGAAGAGTCTGCAACTCTTCACCAATATCATCTGCATCCAAAATCCAAATGATCCCCACTCTGTGTCACCTCAACTGGAATCCCAAACGATGTAGTATGATCTGAAGTATATGGAGTAAACTCCACCCAACATGGAGTAGCATCACCCTCCACCTGCTGCGATATCCAAACGACCTGATCAACACTCTTTACCTGCCAAGAGTTCAATGTGACATACCTGCTCAGAACAAAATCAGAAGCTTCCAAACGATAATCAACCGAGCCTCTGAATCCCAAACGTGCAATCAGATCAAATTTCACATCCTCGATGTGGCTAAATACCGGGTAACCAAATATCCGACGCCAACCAAATTCTGAAGTAGCTCCACCAGATCCAATAACTCCAAATGCAACAGTCGGCGACCTATTACTAAGATGCCCGAAATATGTCGAACCTCCTAAAGCAGAAACAATGCTCGACAACCAACGCCGATCCCCTTCCAGAAAGAAACAACCAATCAAAAATATCATCTTATCTCGTCGACACAATGTTTCCTCTGCAATGAAGTTTCTCAAACTGCCATGAGCTCGGTACAAATGCAGAAATAGGTCCTTCTTGTACCTCCCGCTAAAATCAGAATGAAGTACCTTCACCTTCTACCAATACACTTCTTCAACTGTTGTTGACTACTAGGACTTCAAAACCAACGAGACTTGGTTGCAACCCACAAATGCCTAGTACAATCCCCAACATAGGAAACCGAAATACCAATTTACCTTCCAATGATGCCTCCTTGGAAGGCCCCTAAATGCCTGAATGAACACCAAATAGAAGACCCCTCAATCATCGAATAGAAGTGCCAAACTCCACCCCAGTCTCCTTGTTCATACCAACGTGCTCAAAGGACTTCAATATGCAGGTCAATGGCATTTCTCAATAATCCAATGCACTGTATCAACAAACAAATAACACGGCCTCAAATCCTTCTATCTCGGCCAACTATCTAAAAGCACCAACAAATGAAGAATAGATCCAAACTGATAAAGGATAGAATTTTACCTCCAATTGAAACCCTAACAAGAGTCTCGAAACGATCTCACCCGGCACGTTGGCAACGAGATCCACAAATAGGAAAAATCCCACCTTTATCTCCAACCGAAGCCTTCGAAGAGCCTCCAAAGCGATCTACTCCTCCAAATAGCCCAAGCGCCAACAAACCAATACGGAACAAACGAAGAATAGATCCAAACTGAAAAAGATAGGGTCTTTACAAAAAAGATCCCACATTTCTCGCCAAACGAAGTCCTAGCCGAACTTTCAAATTGATCTACTCCTCCAACAAAAAAAACCCTAGATATGGAATCTGGAGCTCTGATACTAATTTTTGTGCGCGGCGCGGAAGCGGGACAACCAAACGAGCGTGCTTCGAGAACCAAATCAAACAAACGTCGAGATAAAGGCCAAACAAATCAAAAATAACGGTACAAATCCAAACATAATAGTTTTACGTGGTTCGGCAAATTGCCTACGTACACGGGACAAGAAGGGGATAGGGTTTTTCACTAATAGAGAATAAGAGTACAAATTGAGATTACAAAACGCTCAAACCAATCAACTAATCTCACTAACAAATCTCTTAATCTATCCAAATAAACCCTCAAACAATTGCTCAGAAAAACTCTCCTTTTTCTGAGCTCCAAATATCCCTAAACCAATCTCCAAACAAAGCCAAAGAAACCCTAATTCGTATGTTGGTATTTATAGCAAACACCAAACCCAATAAGAACAGGAAACACAAAACAGACCCTGACCCGATTGGCGGTTAACCGCCCAAAGCTCGCGGTCGACCGTGATCCAGCGACAAAGACCAAATTCGTCTACAGGGTCTCGCGGTCGATCGCGCCAAATCCAGACTCCTACTCTGGCTTGTGCACGTTCGCGGTCGCGACCGGCCTTGCGCCGCGGTCGACCGCGCAGCACCCAAAACGACTCTTGTATCTCCAAACTTGTTATGATCCAAAATTTCTCGCCGATTCTACAAATCCTTATGGTAACTTCCAACCCCTTTAACTAATGAGCTGGTGATGTGTGGGCTGAAATAAAATGCAGGCAAAATGGGCTTCAAAGTAATGTGAAGGGGAAGGAGCAGGGAAAACTTAGGGGGTGTTGGTTTCATTTCCAAACAATAATAAACCTTTTCTAGTAGTAAAAAAAATCTATTTCTACCCCTTTCCACTGGTGTCTTAGAAGTTGGTTTTTGTTTTTGCTTTTTGTTTGGGCGTAAAAGTGTGGGGAGGAAATAATTTCTTCCACATTACCTGTTTGGTTCAAATGGCAAAACTAAGAAACCAAATAGGGAGGCAAACTTTTACCTCAGATTTTTTTTTTTTGTTTGTTTACAAATGAAACATCATAGGAAATATTGAATGTGGTGGCCATGGTGAGATTACCATCCAAATAAGACAAAAATTTCTTTCAACCATATTTTCTTTGAAAATTTGGTCCTAGCGATCCTAAAATTGATGCAACATTTATAGTAGCAGCCACAATACTATATAAAGAGGGAGCATGAGAAAAATATTTTGAGAATAAAATGAATAAAATCCTTTGTTGATAGAAAAAATTGTGAATAATTAAAAAAATTGTTGTGCTCACCGTTAGTCATGATCATCAATATATGACATTCCACTAATTCCTATTAATATTGTAGGCCGCAATACTCAACAAATTGAGAAAAAAAAAGTCTTCGCCATTATGATTTGCCTCGCCTAAATAATGATAATAGAAATTGGGGTTACATGTCTCAGAAATTCACACTCATCCATAGCACAATATGAACATAACAACTAAATCAGTTTCTAAAATAAGACCAAATAGTTATAACAGCTTTAAAAAAAAAGATAACTATTGAACTTGATAATACTTGAACTGAGCATGCAATAAAAGACCAAATCGATATTTTGAAGCATGCATCAGAGGAAAACAAATTATGGGGACTGAAATGATAATAATAAGAGCAAAATTAGAAATAGGTGATGCGTAGGCGGAGTTTACGAAAACTGTCAGTAACCACCAAATAGAACTCATAATGCACGAAATCAGTCAAAGCCAGAAATTATTTCAATATATTTTAAAAACTCATCTACATCCTCAAACCTCTGTTTCATTAGATCAAAACTAAAGAGACAATATGAAGTCTATGGGCTTAGATTTAGATCAATCGTCTTGGATTTGCCTCGCCTATACAATATAATGCCAATCTAGGCTACAATCAAAGGATTAACATTAATGAATGCCTTGCCTAAGCACTGTAAATACAGTTTAGGCTACATACAGTAATTGTTGCATATCAATA